CAGTTCCATACTACGCAGCTTTTTTCGTTGATGTCTGCCAGATCTGCTGTTATATTCAGATGCGGCTGTGGTCCGCACCAGCTGGTTTATTTCCTTACTCCTTTGACGAGGTGGTATCTGTGTTTTGGGACCGATATCCTAATTCTTTTGCCAAACATATCGTATCTGAAGATGTGTTGGAAAGAACAGTCACTGAAAATACGATCACAACAAAGAAACTGATCGTAAAGCAAGGTGATATCTTCACCTATTTCTCCTCTCAATTTTCGTTTTTCTTTTCTCTCAAATTGAGTTTAGGAAGCTCGTTTCTCAAAAGGGTACCACGTTGGTTGTCACGTATGACGGAAATTCGAACAGTACCTGTAAGCACTTTTGCTTTTTATCGCTTCGTCATGAGTGTCATCTCACTCGTCGCTGAATTTACCCTACATTGTAGGTAATCGAAGAGAGTGTCTACGATCGTCGAACACGGACGTTGACGACTTATACTCGCAATGTTTCTCACAACAAGCTGTTCGCTATGCATGAACGATGCGTTTATCGCCCGAGTTTGGTTGGTGATTCTACCTCTCGTTAACATAGTGAGGACTGAAAACTCACACAACATTTTCAAGGACTCTCTTGGCGTTCCAATGACCGATCTCATGCGTAGCGTTTATATCGTTATCAACTGTGGACGAATGAGTGGAGTATACGAGAAGCTAATGCTGTTGGGCTTCAAGAAATCTGTAAGTAAATAGATTCATCTTGATCTTCTTATGGCTTTTTTATATATAAACATCATGTGGCTATTATATGCATAGAAGAACGATGTTCGCTTCAACCGTTAAGGTACAAATCTTGCACGATGCATTTTAATGCGACGTGTGTAGCGTGTCTGCTTTTAAATAAGAGCTTTGTATGCTAATTGGTTAAGCTTTTTCAGCCATTTCACGTTCCTTTCGCTTCATTATAGTTCGTAATCATAAATATTTATTAGTTCAGTCCTTGCTGGTAGAAAAGCAGATCGGTGGGGGTATTGCGAAGATTGAGGTCGTCCTCGCCCATAACAAAAGATACTCCAAAAAGTTTCACTCGCATCCCAGAGAGATCCAGACTTTTAGTTAGATCATGTATCCTGGCTAAAATTGTCTGCAATTTCTTCACAGCGAAGGAGTAGCACAGCAGGTGCAAATTTGCAATTCTGTATTTTTCGCATGCAGAAAGCATATAGGCCCTTAGAAGTAAATCATGCTCTTGCGAGGTTAATATCTGTACTCGATGCTCGCATTTTTTCAATGTTCTTACCCTACCTGGCCGGCCGTTATAACGTGCCCATTCACTCTTGACAGAGAATGTTCTGCCTTGTAGTTATTGGAAGAAAACTCTTAAATAGACGTGAAATTACTTTTAAAGTTAAGTAAATTGATAGAATTTGAAAATACTACTCAAGAACTTATCCTTTCTTGTACAAGTGTTAAAAAATTTTGCAATTTTCATTTCGCAAAGAATCCCAACATTTTTTGCCAAAGGAGTGTCACCACTATCTCCTTTTGAAAGCAGATCCTCTTTAATGTGTGCTTCGTAACTGTCTCGATTTAAATTCTTCGATATGGCAATATTATCTCTAAATTATTGTTTTATCATAAAGGTTCTACAAAAAACATTTGCATGTTAGAATTTTTTCATAATCATGCTATAATGAAAAATAAGAAATTGGAAAATATTGCTTCATTGCAGTTTTGTGCCATTTGATTCGACGGTATACAGAAATAAGTTTACAAAATCTTTTTTCTCGACCACACCTTTTCATTATTGAGTCATGAATACGTTAGAATGAAAATCAGTGGTCTAAAGTAAAAGGAGATAAGCTTGCTTTTTGTTTCAAATGAAAGGAGAATAAGCATTTTCTTTCTAGCACACTCATGATTCAAAATTTCTGCTGCATAAGTTATAGATCAAGAAATTAGCCAAGTGATCTGAAACAATTCAAATTTTGTTTTAGGTGATAAATACCTGCAAAGGAATTATTGAAAGACTTGAACAACGATTTGGATCTCGTAACTTGTCAGCACTACCGAAGGAGAAGCTGGCAGCATTGCGAGAGAAGCTCTTGAAGACCGCTTTTATGACCGAAGCAAAATGCGAAGATAAGGAGAACGAAACTTGAATTTGATTGTCCTTGGGTATCGTTGTTGAATGTTGAAGGTTTCAGCTTCAATCTACTATACATACGTTGTTTCTTTCTTGAGTCCATCGTGTTCGGTATATCTCTACTTCCTTTTTCTCATGTGATCCCTATCTAGGGCATGCAGTCGAGTCCTAAAATTTCACATTGTTCAAGACATATGTCAAGAGGTGTTTTGTGTATTACGTCTTCAGTTACCGTTGTTTCGGAAAAATGTTGTGATTCAAGTTTATTTGCCTTGTTGTTCTACTTCACTCTGACTGTAATCCTAAGAGTTGATTTAATGACATGCGTGCTCCACTGCGATGAAAGGATGTCATACTTTCTGAAAATCTTTGCATTCCAGACTCGATTCTTCGAAACATGCTTTTATTCAATAGGTTAGGCCTGATTTTAGAGACAATAGGTTTTAGTAGAGTTGTATGAATTGCTTTTGTACATAATGAAGAACTATCATTGCTATTGTCAAGTACTCGGTTATGGTTCAGTCTTGGCAATAAATCGTTTTGTTGTTTTGATCTGATTTGATTTTTAAGATGTCATCAAATCTCATATACCTTCTTTGTCACTGACTTTTGCGCTGTAGTCATCCTACCCTTTATCGTTTACTTTTACCATCCAGTATATCAGCAAAATGAAGGCCATGTGTGCGTGAATACAATTGCTGTTTTCGAGTAGAGCGGTACAGCATTTTGTTAGTATGTATAAGTATAGTTATCGTCCTTTTTTTGGAGAAGGCAAACTGTTTGGTGAATAATGTGTAGATCAACCAGTTTTCTCATCGTTTTGTTATTTTTCAAACTTATTATCAATCTGATGAAAAGGTTACGAGGTTCACTTTTAGCTTCGGGTCAGCCTTTTCCTCCTGCACTCTTTGTTTATTTTTAAACCTTTTTTGTCATCCTGTTATAAAGCAAGAGGATTGTCGAAAAGAAAACCTAGGGGTTGATTGCTCCTAAGTCGACTGAAGAAGTACGTAGGTAGTTACTATTGCTTGTTGTTCTTTGATCGTCAATGTAGGTATGCTTTTCATATAAATTTCTTGTACTCTTGATGACTACACTGCATAGAAAATGACAAATCAGCGAGAGAACTACTCAATAAAATTTTGTCTGCGCGCATTATCATAGTATCAGATCGAAATTAGACGATCCATGCACACTATGTTTTGAACCAAAAGATAGCTAGCACTGAATAAAGAACTAATCAGGATTTTCAAACAAGATCAACGAAAAGCCTTACCTGCACTTTATTTATGATCATATATTCAACGTGTTCGACGAAAACATTCGGAAAAAAAAG